AAGTTTGAGGCCAGCTCACTCCGTGAGCGACAGTCTCAACAAAGTTAAGGTAGCAGGAGCATAGAGGCAACCGCCTTAGTGCTATTCCAGAGACGGAATGAATGAACGAAAGTGAGAAGTCCTGAGAACAGATCCTGGCCTGCAGTAAGCACCGTGTAATTGTAGGGCGTTGCTACCCATGCAGCTAGGATTTAATAACTGATGGTTTCCTAAACCCGTGATGGAGGGAGGAAGGGGAGAGCCAGTACCACCCACAGCTCCCTAGAGACAGGCTTCTGGTGCCTGGCACAACCTATCTGTGTTTCTATTCTGGGGATGGAGGATGTCCCTGTATCTACTGGCTGGGGCTGTCTCGATGTCTGTCTCTAGCTACTGCTGGGCCAGGAAAATCGAGAACGCCACAACTCTGGGCTGAGGGCTAGAGGGGCGATCAGAAGCTGAGCAAGAGTAGTTCCCAAAACAACCAGGGAGTCTCCCGGGGAGGATCGGATAGCCTGAGGTTCTGCGCGGGCCATGTTCTGGATCACAGGATCCTGAGGCGGCAGGGACGAAGTTGGCCCGAGCTGTGTCTGGGAGGAAATAAAATCAGAAAGGAAAAAATGAGTGAAGAGAGGGAGGAGAAGAGGCGCCCACACCATTTAAACGGCCATCATTTTGTTCTAATGCCAGTCCTGCACCAAGGAGTCCCGGAGACAGCGGTCACCCTCGGAGCCCCCAGACTTAGGAGAAGCCAGCTCTGTATCTGGAAGGTGAAGGAAGGATGGCCAGGAGTACCCTGTGTGAGTGCTGGGGACTGGGCAGGGGTGCTGTGGGGAGGGGTGGCTTTCTGGTCCTGGGCAAGCCAGGAAAGGCACTGTCCACTAGAAGTGACCAGATCGGCCACTTTTACATTCCACTAGCTGCAGAGCCTGAGGTCAGCCTCGTCTTGTTTGTTTGAGCAGTTTGAACATTCTTTTGGGTTTCACCATCCAGAGCACACTCTGCTGGAATGGATGGAGGTCAGCCTCATTAGGCGAACTACCCACCTGGCATCGTTCTTTAGAGCTCTTGGCCGGGTGCCTGGCCGTGGTGATGCACGCCTTTAATCCGAGCACTTCAGAGGCACAGCACTCTGTGAGTTCCAGATCAGCCTGGTCTACAGAGCAAGCTCCAGAACAGACTTCAAAGCTACAGAGAAACCCTGTCTTGAAAAACCAAAACCAAAACCAACCAAACAAACAAAAAGAGCTCTTGGCCGGGACCCAGGGCAGTGGAAGGATGGATGCCTGTCAGCAACTCTGGATCTCAGATCTTGGAATTTGGATCTGTGACTTGGATAAAGGTTGAATAGGCAACTTGAGTTTAGTATGGGTTATCCAAGCGTGAGGAAACCCCCACTGTAGCATTTGCCACCCTCAGTTCTCCCAGCACTGACCACAGTGTTGATCACTGTGCAAGAGCTCACAGACTGCCTGCCAAGCCCATGTGCCAGCTGCACAGCTTCAGGGCTGGCTCGATTGTCCGCATTGTCTCTGGCCTACGTTGCTCAGGCTGAAGCTCCATTGAAGGAACCATGTCCTTCAAACTTAAGTTTGTCTGTTGAAAGGGGGACCTCAGACTAAGGCATAGCAGTTCCCCCTTGAGTTTTCAGCCCACCAGCTCATTCATGACTTTGGGAGTTGGGTGTTACCTCATCACACCTGGTTCACCCTCTGGTGATGTGGGAGTCCCCTCTGTGTGCTGTGATTACCTTAATAAATAAAGAAACTGCCTTGGCCTGTTGATAGGGCAGAACTTAGGTAGGTGGGAAAGACGGAACTGAATGCTGGGAGGAAAAAGGCAGAGTCAGACATGCCAGATCTTTGCCGGTAAACCACTGTCATGTGGCAATATACAGATTCATAAAGATGGGTTAAATTAAGATGTAAGAGTTAGCCAATAAAAAGTTAGAGCTAATGGGCCAAGCAGTGATTTAAATAACACAGTTTCTGTGTGATCATTTCGGTTCTGGGCGGCCGGGACAAACAAGCGGCCGGGACGAACAAGCGGCTCTCTCTTCCAACAGTCTGGAACAGGGAAGTCACTGGAACAACCTTTGAGGATCCTGGGAGGACGTTCCAGGCATGCTTAGGTCACATGTCGTGGCTCACAAAGCCACTTGTCCCAGAACATGAGCTCATGTGGTACCGCCTACAAGGCCACACGCCACGTGGATAGAGCTGTGCTTTTTGTTTTTGTTTTTGGAGGTTTTATTCTATTCTGTTCTATTTTATTTGAGACAGGGTTTAATGTACCTCAGGCTCATCTTGAACTTTCTGTGTGACTGAGGATGATCCTGAACTTGTGATCCTTGTACTTAAACCTCCTGAGTTCAGGGATTGAAGGTGTGCAACACAGCCATACAGCACGGAGAGTCAAACCTGCGTCCTGGGAAAGGAAGGGCTCCAACAGCCCAGCTACATCCCAGCATAGATATAACAGCCTAACTGTACCACAGATAAAGTCGTGTGCCTCTGTGTCCCTAGCTTTATGGGAGGTGAGCTTAGTGGAACCTGATCTTGTCAGCCCTCTGACTAGACATCCTTAAGCGATTCTCTGGATCCCCCAAAGTTTTCCCTGCAGAGTCTCTTTTAGAACCCACAAACTTACCCCAAGAAGGGAACAACTCACTCTGCTCAAGGTTCTGATGGAGAAGCCAATGAATGTAAGTGGATAAAAATGACCAAAGCTCACACTCGCTCTTGTGAGTTACAGGACTGCACAGTGGCCAGGCAAGCATGTGCCATCCATGCAGTGTACAAGGACATAGTTGCTGAATCAGTCGGGTAGTGTGGATGGACATGTTTGGAGAGGCTTATTGCTTCAGAGAACCTGGAGAGCTTCCCAGAATCCTCAAAAGGCAGGAAGACCTTCAGAATTGGCTCAGGCCCAAGTAGAGCTGCTGTCCCTGACTTTGATCTCAGCATCTGTTAGGTTGCATGTTTGCTAAAGCAAAAGTCAGGGTCTTTGAGAAATCAGATCAAGGCCAGGGCAGAAGGTGCACAGATGCAGAGAACAGCGAGGGTGCAGTTATTGGCATCCTGATGGACAAGCCCTGAGCCTCAGAAGGGTTCTCTTCACCTAGAACCCTCCTCAGCTCAGCTCCTGATGCCAGCCCAGGAACGGGAGGCACTCAGAGCCAGGAGAAGCCATATGTACAGGAGAGGAGGGGGAGCCACCCAGGCAGGCACAGAGCCACCTCTGAGGCCAGCCAGGAAATGAGCTGGGTCCTAGGGAAGACTTTCCAGACTTGTTTACGGCTTGCCCAGCATCTGGCCCCCAAGCTATTAGATAGGAGCCCAAGGGTGGGGCAGAAGCTGACGGAGAGGGAGTCTCCAGCGTTCCATGGGAGGAGCGATGTCCCCACCCAGCCCGTTCCTTCCAAACTCATATATGCGCAGAGTCCCACTTGGGCCTCTGGAGCCAGCAACGCTTTCAAAATTCTTCTTATAAAAATAAAAATAGAAAAACCCACAAAATTCTACCAGAAAGAACTGGGGAAAACATTGCCGCATACATGAGAAAGGTAAAACCCATACCACATAAGCCTCTTTACAAAAACCGGGTTATGGCAGTGCGTGCCGGCACTCCAGCACTTGAGAAGCGAGGCAGGGGGGTCACCACAATCCCCCAGCTTCTTATGGAATGAGATTCCCACCCACCAAAGGCATAAGTCAATGAGTGCAAGCTGCCACTGAGCGCATGAGACGCTCACCCTCATGGGTCTGGAGAACAGGGAACAGGGGAACAAAGTCTAGATGATGTTTAGGAGGAACTGATGTGTATTTCACGCCTCCTGCCTCATTAGCACCGCCAGCCCGCAGACCCCTCCGTAGTGGCCCAGCACAACTCCCGCTGGGCCTCTAATGCATACCCATTGTTGTCTCCCTCCCCACTGGTGAGCAATGCAGTGTGTTGGACTTAAAGGCCCCTCCCCTTGGGTTCTAACCGGGAGTGAAATTAGTGTTATATTCTTGATCAAAGAGGCATCTTCTGCTATGAAGGAAGGTCATCCTCTTTGACTAAGCGTGCAGCTTCAAGCCGGATGTGTGTGTGTGTGTGTGTGTGTGTGTGTGTGTGCATAGTGTAAGGAAGGGGATGCCCCTTCGCTAGACAGATAAGCCACATTAGGTGGTCAATGGGATGACTGACAGATGTCAGGCAGATCACCCTAAATACCCTTCTCTTTTCTTCTGTCTCTGTACCTGCCTCCACCTCTCTTTGTCTGTAACTCAGTACAGGATTGAGCACAATTTTAAGTTCACTTCACCATGCTATGGTTCATGCTATTTTTATGCTTCGGTACATAGCAGCACATAGGTGTGCGTGGAGGTTTTCTAGACAAGACCGCAAAAGCACAGACCGAAACTAGAGGCTGGGGTGGGGGGAATGGGATTTTATCAAACAGTGCAGAAGAAAAACTCAGAAGAATGATGAGGGAGCCTACAGGGTAGCAAAAAATATGAGTTATTCATCTGACAAGGGGTTAATACCAGGATTATATAAGGACCTTAAGCTATTACCCTCTCCCAAATTATCTGATTTTAAAAAGAGCAAATGATTAGCTGGGCATAATAGTACCTGCCTGCAATCTCAGTGCTTGGGGTGCACAGTCTGGAGGATCAGGAGTTCAAGGTCAACCTCTGCTGCAAGGCAAGTTCAAAACCAAAACAAATCAAAGCAAACAGAACAAAACAAACAAAAGACAAGAGAGGGTGAAGATAGTTCTCAAAAGGAGACACGTAGTAGTCCATAGTACACCCTAACCATACTCCCCCACAGTTAACATTAGTGACCTTCAGGGAAATGTGAGTGCAACCCCTGTGTCGGATCACACCACGCGAGTAAGAATGACTCACATGAAAGAGACAGAAAGCAGGGAGGCAGAGGCGAGAGTCGGACCAAGTGAGCCTGGTCTACACAGCCAGTTCCAGGCCAGCCAGGGTTATATAAAAACATAAACAAAACACAATGCAAAACAAATAACCTTGCTGGCTGGGATGCAGAGAAAAGAGGCTCACAAGCCGTTGGTGGGATGTAAATGAGGGCAGTCACCACGCATTCTGAGCTTGGCCTGATGGCCCAGGAAAAATGCCCCACCGCCATGGCATTTAGCATGCAGATTCTCAAAATAACTGTACATCGAACCACCAGATGTGTGTATGTGTGGGAAACGCAGGCCTCACAGAGTTGAGAGATGAGCAATCGCTGAAGGTGTGGAAGAGGCAGATGGATGGGGTGAGGATGTTGTCAGCAGCGGAAGAGGTGCTGGGGAGCCTCTGCATGGTACACTGACTGCAGAGAATCATGTGTGCTGTGGGTATTTTTAAACCTCGAAGGCAGATTCTCATTAGAGAAGCAGAGACTCACCGCGTCCCACAACTCTGCAAGAAAGGAGCCAGGGCAACAAGGAGAAAGAATTCTGAGAAGAGAGGGAAGCCAGAAGAGCAGGGGAACTGGAAAGGGAGCGGAAAAGAGGAGACACCAATTTGGAACTAATACCAGCGCTCTGGCTGGGCTCAGAGACCAGACACTGCAAGCAGGAGGTAAGCTAGGGTGAAGCCAAGCCCAGCTGCTACCAGTTACCCCAGCAGACAGCACGGTTGAGCAATCCATACTCCATCTAAGCTTTAATACAGTTCAGGGGACTTGCTCAAAAGATGACACCTGACCTGCAAGGCATGCAGAGAAGGAATCTAGGCTACAGCTCTGGGTCAGAAGCCCTGGAAATCAATAGGCCTGGAATAGCCTTGAATCAGGGTCCCTATGGACCATCCAGCTGCATTGATTTGTTGGGAGGTGGCATGCCAGACACCGTGGTATAGGGGAGAGTGATACAAAGTTACAAATCTGCTGAGGGGTTCCACAGTCAGAATCTTAGTCTGTGATGGTGTAATGGGGAATCTCCCAGAGACAACGACCCCAACAAAGTTTATAGCCAATTGAAAATCTTTATTCCAGCTGACTAGGTCTACACTCAGGCATCCGCATCCGGAACCTACGTATTGTCCAAATCAAGAGGTTTTCGAAGGCAAACCAACACCCTGGCATCTCACTTGGCAGATGCAGTGGGGCAGGGCAGGGGTGGGGGAGGGGAAGGGGCTCTCCACTCCAGTAAGCAGTTTAACAGAAGCCAAGGTAAGCAGTTAGCTGGAGGGAGGGGGCTTCTGCACAGGCAGACAGTTTAACAAGCTAAGTTAGCTGGGGCATCTTGACCTCCAAGTTCTAGAATATAGTTGGGTAATTCTTCTATTACATTCTCCACTAAGGAGATCAAATTCTAGTCAAGTCTAAAATAGCTTCAGCAAGAATACAAGATGGAGGAACCTGTTGTGTTGTCTTGCTCTCACGATGAAGAGGGGATCAGATGAGACAGCAGTTAGTGGGCTACCAACATTTTTTAAAAATCTGTATTTTTAAACTAAACCCTATGTAGTGCTGGGTGGCTTGGAGCTGGCTGCATAAACCAACCAGTCTTGCATTGGACTTGAAGTCTCTGCCTATTCAGCAGACTTGCTGTCTCTGGAGCCAATCTTGAAGGCGCTGGTGTGAGTTCATGACCCTCTTCTAGTTCTGGACTCAGCGAGTCACTGTGAGTGGGGTGGATGTCCAGTTCCCATACCAGAGCATTCTGGAAATCGCTTCGGCATTTGCTACTCTCCTGGGCACATGGACTAGAACCTTCCAGGCTAATATATGCCAACCATACCACCCCGCAGACTGTTGGCAATGGCCAGATTCTGGCTACTCTGTGCTTACATGCTGGCAATACTGAACCCACGTATTAAAAACCTCTGGAGAGGTGAAAGCCCTGGGTTGACAATGCTCCCCTTAACCTGCTCAGGGAGATGCAGTGTCTATCTGCACGTCACCCCAACTTGTGCATGCTGAGGGGGGGGCACCACCTCGGGTTCCTGTTCAGGTATTTATCCACAACCTTGGGAGAGTATCAACTTAAGGAAGGTGCATTATTCGGGCTCAGGGATTGAGGGGACACAGTCGTTCATAGTTTAGATTTCTCTCTTTAATCTTTGTGTTTGTGTGTGTTTACATGTTCATGTATGTGAGTACAGGCAGGCCAGTAGATGTCAGAGGACAAAAGCATGTCTTGGTCTTCTTTGCGGTCGTGTACCCCAGGCTAACTGGCCTTTGAGCTGCTGAGGCTTTTGTCTTTAGGCGTTCTGGGATTATAGATGTGCTGCTGCCCCTGGCTTCATGTAGGTCTGGGCATCAGAGCTCAGGACCTCATGCTTGGCCAGCGAGTGCTTCACCCACCGAGCTCTTTCCCCAGGCTCTCACTATGACTTCTTGTTTCCTGCAGAACTTCAGCCATGCCCACCAAAGCGTCCCCCCTGCTGCTCACCACCACCGGCTCCGAGAACAGCAGCTCCATCTACGACTATGATTACCTGGACGATGTGACCGTCTTGGTCTGCAGGAAGGATGAGGTCCTGTCCTTTGGGAGAGTCTTTCTGCCGGTCATCTACAGCCTAATCTTTGTGCTGGGCTTGGCTGGGAACCTCCTCCTCCTGGTGGTACTTCTCCGCTACACACCGCGAAGACGGATGATCGAGCTCTACCTGCTGAACATGGCCATCTCCAACCTCTTGTTTGTAGTGACGATGCCCTTCTGGGCCATCTCTGTGGTCTGGCATTGGGTTTTTGGCAGTTTCATGTGCAAGGTGGTGAGTGTTCTCTACACAATTAACTTTTATAGCGGCATCTTCTTTATCACGTGCGTGAGCCTGAACAAATACCTGGAGATCGTTCATGCTCAGCCCCTCCACAGACCGCAGACCCGGTTCAGGAACCTGCTCCTCATTGCCGCAGTGTGGACCATGGCCCTGGCCATCTCTGTCCCGGAAATGGTCTTTGTCAAGGTCCACCAGACCGCAGATGGCGTGTGGCACTGTTATGCAGATTTTGGCGGACATGCGACTGTTTGGAAGCTCTACCTGCGCTTCCAGCAGAACCTCCTGGGATTTCTCCTTCCACTCTTGGCCATGGTCTTTTTCTACTCCCGCATCGGTTGTGTTTTGGTTAGGCTGAGGCCGCCAGGCCAGGGCCGGGCTCTGAGGATGGCCGCAGCCCTGGTGGTAGCTTTCTTCCTGCTCTGGTTCCCGTACAACCTCACTGTGTTTCTGCACTCGCTCTTGGACCTGCACGTCTTTGGGAACTGCCAGGTCAGCCACTCTCTGGACTACACGATGCAGGTGACGGAGAGCCTGGCCTTCTTCCACTGCTGTTTCACGCCCATCCTCTATGCCTTCTCCAGCCGCCGCTTTCGCCAGTATCTGAAAGCTTTCCTGGCTGCCGTGCTGAGATGGCACCGGGACCCTGGCCCTGCCCAGGCCCTGCCATATAGCCATTCGGAGAGCAGCAGGGTTACTGCCCAAGAAGATGTGGTCAGCATGAATGACCTGGGAGAGAGGCAGGTTGATGACTCCCTTAACAAGGGGCATGTGGGGACTGATTAGGCCTGAGTGGCCCTGCCATTCTGGAAAGAACACCGCTCCCTTTCAGGGCCCGCATGTCCGCACTGCTTGGCCCAGCGGCTCTCAACCACCAGCGGTCCTTGCTCATGGCTGCCCCTTCCTCTGTCTCCCAGGACCCCATGCTGTCTGCTGATTCACTGCAATGGTCTCCATGATCTTTGCTTCCATCACGTGTCCTTCTGTGGCTCTCTGGGCGCCCAGCAGCCAGTGAGGTCATTCTACTCGGGCTTTGAGGGCTTTGTGACCAGCCTATGACCTCACCTCTGCCACACTCCCCCCACCCCCCAGTTTCTGGGTGCAGGGCTCCCTGGTCTGCACTGTGTTTCCGGAGCATTCCAGGCTCACCCCAGTAGGGAGAGTTCAGCTGTGCCACCTGCCTGGACAGTCTTCCCCTTGGGGAGCGTTTGGCTCCTTCCTTTGCTTCTTGGGGTCATGGTTCAGATCTCACCGTGTTGGTGAGGGACCCCATGCTCACCCTACTTCATGCCCTGTCTGCATCCCCGATGCTCTAGACTGTGTGCATCTACCCTGACCTCTTACTCAGTCCACAGATTTCTCCTGTTTGTGGCGTCCACTCGTTACTGCCTTAAGCCCATCCACCCCCCTAGAGCTGCGGAGAAAGGCTCCTTAATGCATGGCTCACAGCTACACTCAAACCAAGCCACGTAAGAAAGTGTCTGTGGAGTGTGAGTGACAAGTTCTTTCTCTGTGGCATTTTTGGGAAGAGCCACAGGCGCTCTCTCCACCAGGGCCCTTTTCTGTGTAACTCAGAGAAATCTATACCTTCCTGGCCTTGACAGTAGCTCCAGAGCTGTCGTCTGAAGGCACCGGAGGTGCTTCAGTCGGAGAACAGCACAGCAGGCATACATCTGGCAGGAGGAGGGCAGGAACCGTCCCAGATTGGGACTGATCTTGGGACATTCAGTCTTTCGGGGTCTGTCAGTCAAGTTCAAGGCTTTCTCTGAACTTTCCGAAACACATGCTGGGGAGAAGGCAGCCCCTCAACACATCCTGCAGGGAAAACTGGGTATGCACGTGTGGGAGATTAAAGCAAGATCCTATCTCTCATCCGGTACAAGAGCAGCTAAAAATGGATCAAAGACTTTAATGGTAGACCAGAAGCTTTGACCTGAGGGAAGAGCACAGGGGAACAACCAAGACATTGTTAGAGGCAGGGACTTTCTGAGCAGAGTTCCAGTACCCCAGGAAACACAAGCAGGAACTGAGAAGCAGGATTGCATGAAGCTGCATGGCGTTAGTCTCCAAGGCACAGGGCAATGGTTGGGATTAAAAGAGCCCCATCTGTCTCTTTAATCCCCCAAGGCACAGGGGCAATGGTCAGGATAAAAAGGCGGCTCCATCCTGTCTCTTTAACCCAGCTCACTTTTACCTAACAGGGCCAATATCCAGACTGCACAGGGGACTTAAAAATTGACAACGTCAAATAATATAATTAAAAAACATATGGGTGAGTGGTCTGAACAGGCATTTCTCAAAAGCAAAGACACATGAAAGCCGCTCTGCACCCTTATCCGTCACGGAAACGCAAATCAGATGATGCTGCAGGTCTACCTCACCCAGGACAGACAGTGTTCCCAGAGAAGTTACAAGAACAGCATAACCATGGACTCTGGTGGGACACAGGGGAGAGGGACCCTTAGTGGCTGCCACTGGGTAAACTGGTACCATCCGTGGGCAGGAATTTGTTGGTTAAAAAACTGAAACTGCTAATGATTCATCAATAAAACCCCTGAGTGTCCCTGAAGGAAGTGAAGTCGGCGAACTCCGGAAACAACCGTGCACCATATTTATCATGCTGTTTCCAAAAATAGCCAGGATGGGAATCATGGTAGCCACCCAGAAGCTAATAAACAGATATGGAAAACACACCATAAACACACTGTAGGGTATTTTACCCAGCCTTGAAGAAGACGAAGAGGAGAAGTCGGAAAATGGTAGTGTTCTGGTTCTGGTTGAGTGAAGTGACGTAAGCCAGTCTTAGAGGAGTATCACTTATTTCCTCTACTTCGTGGAAACTAAGACGAGAGAGTAGGAAGTAGGTGTAGGGAGAGCAGAGCAAGGAAGGCATGCATGACATACACATGTATGGAGAGGTCACAGAGAACCCTGTCAGTCTACACAGGATGAGTCCATAACTACAGCAACAATAAGCTTTGCTTGGCATGAAGGCGAGGACTGTGTGTGCATGCACACACACGTGTGTGTGTGTGTGTGCATGCGCACGAGTGGGTGTGTGCACGTGTGCGCACGATGAATATATATGTGCCAGTATGTAGAAATAAGAGGACCAACTCAGATGCCATCCACCTTTGTTTTTTGAGACAAGGTCTCTCCCTGGTCTCCCCCTTCCCCAAGGCTGCACTGGTCTATGCTCCAAGCCTGGCTTTTTGGCACAGGCTCTGGGATTGGACTCAGGTTCTGGTCCCTGTGTGGCAGGTGCTTCCTCGACTGTTGCTCTTCATCCAAGGCCAGCGCTTCTCAGCAGCATCCAGGCACCTTCACCCTCCAGCTCCTCCGTTTCCTGAACACCCGCCGCTCCATGCGGCTCTCTGCCCTGCTCCCTCTTGTAATAAAGTTTGCTTCTGGTCATGCGTGCTGCCCTCATCTCCCGAGCTAATCCTACCTGCCCTGTGCTCTGGGTGGAGTCTTAGACTGTTCTGATTTGGATCAGTGTCCTCTGAGTTTCCCGTGTTAACGATTTGGTCCCAGGTGTTACTGCTGAGTAGCGGAGTAACCTCTAGAAGGCAGGGCCTGCGAGCAGGCCCTTGAAGGAAACGCTGGAACCTGAACCTTTGCCCTCACCACTGTCTCCCTTCGCGAGCTGAGCAGTGTGCTCATTCCGTGCGTTGCCATCTGGCCCAACCGCCAGCATCCCAAAGCCATGTATCTGGGGCTACAAGACTGCAGCCTCCTGACCCTGAGCTCAAATCTTTTCTCTTTGGTCATTGATGACCTTGGGTCCTTTGATGCAGTGACAGGAAGCTAACACATAGAGCAATTACAATTTTATAGTTTCACGGCCACGCGAGTCTTTGGGGACGGACATGTGACCTAGGCAAAGTCAGTGGGACGTAGACAACCGGGACATACTGGATAGAGCATGAAACTAAAAGGGGGAGAGTGTGAGGTCTGGTTGACAAGAAGTGAAGTGAGCAGACAATTCCCCAGCGCTGGCTTCACCTTCACACCTGCCTGTAGCTCCACTCTCCCCGCAGTGTGGGTCCATACTTCTTTGTTATGAGCATACTCACTGCCACCCAGTGCATGCTTGTCACCCTTCTCCAGGAAGCCTCACAGAACCCCTCACAGCTGGCTCACCCCTTACAGCACAATAAAGACGAAGCACAGCACAGGAAAGGAACCCTAGGTAAGTGAAGTGGAGGGCAGGATGGTGGGCGGCTGTGTTCCCAGACAGCGGAGATGCTCATTTGTAAGGTCTTCATCCCACACGTTGCTACCAGGGCTTGGTGTATAGCAGATGCTCACAGAGTACTTCAGGGGCACATTCGTTCATTTTCTCCTGAAGACAAAGCGGCTTAAGGAAGGAAGGGTTTACTTGGGTTCACAGTTTGAGGTACAGTCCCCTGTAGGGGACGTCACATCACACCCACAGTCAGGAGGCAGAGAGAGATGGACCCTGGTGCTCTGCTCAGTTTCTCCCTTTTATTTGTTGCTACCCTGGCCACAGGATGGTGCCATCCACAGTCAGGGCAGCCTTCTTACCTCATCTTCCTGTTCAGCCAATCTATGAACTCCACACATGCCTACAAGTTAGATTCTACGTTCTGTCAAACTGACAATAGCCGGAACGGGATCTCTACTCCCCCCTCCTCTTCATTTTCTTCCCCTCCTCTTCCTTCTCTCTCCCTCCGTCCCTCTCTCCCTCCCTTCCTTCCTCCCTTCCTTCCTCCCTTCCTTCCTCCCTCCCTTCCTTCTCTTCTTCCTCTACCTTCTTCCTTCTTTTATTTTTTGATTTTTGATTAAGTTCTTTTTTTTTTGAATGAACGACGGATGAACGGAGAACTGAACAGGAAGACAATGTCCCACCGAGTTCTTCTCTCTGCACACTCTGTAACTGTGTGCTCCCTGCAACGCTCACATGCACACACATGTACACACACCTATGCATTCATACATACAGTCACATACACATGCACACATACATATATACACGCACACACATGCATGTTACCCATACCCACCTCTCTCAACTCTGATGTCAGGTCTCTCTGTCCAAGGCCCCAGATTCTTTATGTCCGGGGGAGGGGGAGGATTCCAGGCTCCCTCAGTTCTTTATCTGTGGTTGATTTGTCTGAGAACATGGAGGAAGGGTATTAGAATTCCCGAGACCACGCATGTCAGACAGACTGATGAGATGCAACCCAAGTTATGGCGACAGGACCAAGGTCTCCCAAGTGCCCGACTTTGTGCCCGAGATGCGCAGATGGGATGGGACACAGTATGCCAGGTGAGGGAGTTCAGGGGCCTTGTTACCAGCCTTGGTGACATGTGTGTATTTGTCTAGGATATCCATGTACACGTGTCTGTCCCTGACAGTGTGTTGTGTGGGCTGCGTACAATACATACAGCTGTGGATGTGGCTCTACTATGAACGTGTATCTGGTGTGTGCACTCAGGCTTTCTAACTGCTCTTAATTGTCTCTGTGTGTGTGTGTGTGCTGATTGTACACATGGGTGGGCACAGATTGTACGTGTGGGTGTGCACTGATTCTCTGTGTACATGTGGTTATGCACTGACTGTTTATATGCGTGGATGTGCACTGATGGTGTAACCATGGGTGTATACTGATTGTGTACGCGTGGATGTGCACTGGTTGTGTACGACTGAGTGTGCACTGATTGCCTGTGAACAAGTGGGTGTGCACTCGTTGTCTGTGTATGAGTGGGTGTGCACTTCCTGAGAAAGAGACTGATAGTCAGCAGAGCCCTGCCGGAGCAGAACGCTGGCTGAAGACACTCCTGCTTATAGTTGTAGGGACCCTGTGCCCTGTGCAGCAGCTCACCAGTCTGTACAGCCCAGGCCAAGGCAGAGCCTCTTCTCTCACCCCTACCTACTTTCAAGACTGAACATTGCTCTGCTCCCTGCTCTTTACCAGGCCTGCCATGTCTGGCTCCCCGTGGCACCACCCAGCCTTAGCCAACAGTCTCAGGGGTGCCTCTGTATGCACCTGACCACCAGGCTTGGGGGTGAGGAGAACTCTGCTCTGTGCTGGCTCAAGGAGAGGGCGGGAATGACTGCCTACAGCTAAAGCTGCTGGTCCCTCGGCGCTGTGCCGTGAGACAGGAGTGTTCACAACAGTAACTATGTGGAGGAAAGTCTTTTCCCTCCCAGGTGCCCAAAACCCACCATGGAAGACTTGTTTTTACCTTATGTTGTCTTGACTTTGTGAATTTTGTGGGTGACAAGCTCTTACTGTGAAGTCTAGGCGCCTCTGAACACGAATCCTCAGACTCCTGAGTGCTGGGTCCCTTGTGTGTGCCTCCACAGACAGCTGAGAAGGCCTCTCTGGTCTTATTCTATTGTAAGCCATCTCCAGAGAGAATCCATTTGCTGCTCTTCCCTTGGAGGCCTTGAGGGGAAGGAAGGGACCAGCACTGCTAGGCTGGGCCAGCGTGACTAGGTGTACCCTTGGGTCTCCTCTGACAGGGCTGTTCCCATCATTCCTCATGGAGGGGACTCAGGACCACAGGTGCCCAGGGCAACCTATACAAGCAGACAGGCACTGGATTCTCCTGCATAGCCAAGATTTCTGGGAGACCCCACATGTGAGACAGAGCGCCTCTGATCACCTCAGACCTGGCCACTGATTGTCTTGGTCCTTCACATAAATTTCTGGGCTCTCGAAGGCCACTCTCTGCAGGGGGAGAGTTTTCTGCGGAGCTGCCCAGGCCACTTGCAACTGAGAGCTTCTGGCCCTGACTCAGGGGACTCACAGGCCAGGCTCCTGCGTCCTCTGAATATGTGAAAAGGGAGAAAACCTGGCAACGAGGACCCAAGGTTGTCCCCTTCTCCTGCCCACTGAACTGAACACGCGCTGGCTGGATGGGACCCACTGGTAAACTCACCGTTATGACTCTCGGTTTTGCACCCCGTGGCCCTGACTATCTTCTCTTCCTGTGTTCCTTGACTTGTGGAAGTGGACAGGTAGGGGCTCTCAGACTGACTTCATCATTCAAGAAAGGCAGGTCTCGGTCCAGGGTTGCACAGCTAGCTGGAGACATCTTGCCCCAGCTTGAGCCTCTGCCCACTATCACAGGCACACACACACACACACACAGGCACACACTCTCTCTCTCTCTCTCACACACACACACTCTCTCTCTCTCTCTCTCTCTCTCTCTCACACACACACACATACAGCATCGGGCAGAATAGGCAGGCTGAAAGGACACAGAGCAGTGTTGGGAGAGCATCTCTGCCTGGGCCCTGCGGTGATGAGGCTGTCTGTGCTGCCTGGACCCTCCTTTTCCAGCATCCTCCGCCTAGCTACAGTTGTCCCCCCGCCTGTCCTAATCCCAGTCAGGCCCCGCTACCAGCCAGTACAGCTCTGGTGGCAACACTCGCCCATTCTCCAAACTGAGGAAGTGTGTCTGGCCCTAAGGTTACCTGTATTTCATGTACCAGGATGCTAAGGTCATGCAAGGGCGGGAAATGTTTGACTACAGAGTAAATTTTCCAAGGCTGGAAATCAAGTTTCTACAACACATGTTTAGAGAACTAGTAGACAGAGACAGATGGACATGTCACCAGACTCTGGTGAGCTCAGTCCTTGGTTCTGGTGGTCCTGGGTCCCCTCCGTGAGGACTAATGAAAACAGTCCCGTCAGAGGAGACCCAAGGGTATGACTAATCACACTGGCCCAGCCCAGCAGTGCTGTGTCCCTTCCTTCATCCCCCACACCTCTCATCAGCTTCCCCCCAGGACCTCCAAAGACAAGTCCCTGATGGGCTTGAAGCTGAACCAGGAGCAGGAAGAGAAAACAAAGACAGTGACAGCAATGGTCTAGCCTAGGTGTACTGGAATGGATAAACCATATAGGGAAGCCCAAGGGGCCCAAAGCCGTGTCTGGGATGGGAAGATGGGGGCGGAAGAAGGCTTCCAGGAGTAGCTGGTACTGGGTTTGCAGTCAATGCTACACCTTTGTCTTGGGGACGGCCCACTGCAGAAGCAGGTAAAAATGAAGCAACCCAGAGGACAGGTGCATGGGGGTGACAGAGAGCCGGGGAGATGAACGGTGGCAGCCAGAGATACTCTTTGAAAAGGGTTTTGGATATCTGTGTGAACCAAGGGTCGGGTCAGGCCTGTTTGGAAACAGGCAGAGGCTACAGGCCTAGGAACGGCAGCAGAGGTGGGTGGAATGTGATGTTTCTGAGGCACTACAGGGCTTGAGCAGACGGAACTGGGCCCGATGACCGCGAGGGAGGAGGTGAGGTGTTTGGTGTCTGCTCTGGGTCATGGGTGAAGGGGAGCTCTGAGCAGAGAGGCAGGGGAGTAGGGAAGGAAGCCGGTCACCAGAGCGTGGGATGGACTGTGAGTTCCACACAGCCCGAGCATATCCGAGGGGCTG